AACACTTTAGGCAATGTCTCACGCTTATTCTACTCATAACCGGGATGGATCTTGTGTTAACTTTTTGATCAACTGATACATTATTTAGTCTAATGGAAACCCCTTCAAATTTCCCAGAGTCCAGCTTTAAAATTTGCCCAAGTCAGTCAAAATCCAGAGGCATTCGGGACGCTCTGCAACGCGTCTAAAGTAGTTGTCTATCTGTTGGCTCTGCGATAGACTGGCAACCTATCCAGGAAAGGATGGAATAAAGAATTTGTAAACAGACACATTTACACGTCTTTAACACTTTTATCTGAGGATAAGATCTACAGACTGAAGCACTAAAGCCTGCAAGTTCAGGTGAAAATCTCAAAACACTAAATGGGTAAGTAGTGCCTTTTCATGTACTGTTGTCATAGAAACATTGTTACCATGAGGCGCCACAGACTAAGACAAATCTTCTCAAAGTTAAATGCATTTAGCAGCTTAAAAAGAGGGAGAGAGAAAGAGGCAGAGAAAAAATGTTTCTGTAATACTTAATATAAAGGCCACAATCTCAGATCACACACACACAAAAGCTAGTCCTTATTTGCTACATTTATCTAAATAAAAAGAAGAGGGTTGCATTTATGATTACAGGTCTTATATAATAAACTCTAGACCCTAAAGGAAAGCTGGCTCTGAGATTAATAAACGTAAGCTACAGTGCAGCTTGAATGTTCATAATGCCTTTAGATTTTTTTTTTATATTTATGCGTAAAACATTATCAGCTGTAATGAATGGAAATGACACATGTGAGGGTCAAGAAGATTTTGGTCACTCTTGCCTGTCACCTTTTGAGAATTTTCCTGCACTTCTTACACAATCTATTCCATTTTGGGGCATTGCTGGTTTTCCTTACATGAACTGCTTGCTTCAGTTCCAAAACATTTCTATTCGATTAAAGTCCGAATTTGGTCGTTCCAAAACATTCTTTTTTACTATTCTTTGGCAGCACAACCTGTGTACTGAGGGTAGCTGTCTTCCTCCATGACCCACTTTGTCTTGAGATTCATTTCATGGATTGGTGTCCTGACATTTCATCTTAGTATGGTATTTAGTGGTGTCTTCCAAATTGATGGTTCAGTCAATGGCAGGGGGGTTCAAAACAGGTCTTAAACCATGACATTACCACCAACGCGGGATGCAGTTCAGATGTCTTCACCTGTCACAGAATGAAGAGTTATTGTACAGCTTTACAGAGAACAGTAGGAATGATTTCCTTAAGCATTCTTTATGGCAGCGAGGTTGAATCAGTCTGAGGGAGAAGGAGCTCCCGTTGCCTCACAAGTGTGGAGTGGGTGTCATGGGTTGTTCATGATGGAGAGCAGTTTGTTCAGTGACCTGCTGTCCCTAACTGACTCAAACGCCTCCAAATTTGATCAATGATGCTTCCAGCCTGGCAGATTAGTTAGTTGATTAAAAGTAGCGTGAAGCAGGGCACTTTGGAAGTGTTCACACTTCTAAAGTAGTAAGTGAGCAGATATAAGCTCACAATATTTACCTTGTCCTTTATTCCATTTCTAAACTTCTTAAGTTTTTTTTTCAAGCTGCTCGACCTCCTCTGATGTGCATGTCTACAAAGTAGGTTTTGAAAATGACAAGAGTGCATAAATTTAACTAAGTTATTTTCTCGGTTATAATTAGAGTACCATCTGGAAACTATGTACTGACATTTTTGTTTTTGTTTATGCGATACCACTTGTCATATTTGCTCAATCCAGCATGAAAGTTGAATAAAAACAGTATTTTCTTCATTTTTGTGACTTGGTAAAAAGTTTTACACATTTTTTTTTTACATTATTGTGAAATAAAAAATATATACATATCACTGCTTTAACTTATTTTCTGTATTTTAGACATTTTTGACAAATCAGTTCAAAATAAGAAAAGCCAGTGAAGCTTTTATCCTTAATAGCTTTTATCTTTAATGTTCAAACATGACCTCAGATTTCAAAGTGTGAAAAAAAATGCTGGAAGTTGGCCGATAGACCAAAATGCTAAAGTTTTACAACAACAAAAAAAGAAGAAGAAAGAAGAAGAAAAAAATCCCAGTGCTTAGACCCAGTGGGGATGTCAGGCCTGGTTGAAACCCTGAGGTTCTTGTCCCATACTTTCAGTTCCTTTCTGCGAAAGTTCTATTTTAGCCTGAAAAACATTGTTTGAACAGCCTTATGGGTTGTCCATGTGACCTTTTCTTAAACTGCAGCCAGGACTCCTTCATGACCTTCTAGAGTACTCCTCACCTCCCTTTTGGACTTTTCTTTATTGGTTAGACATTCCTGGAGAGGACATTATTATTCTTGTATTTTCTTAGTTTGGACATAATGTCAAACTTATGCACAAGTTCAATAAAGAAGTTCTGCATTCGCTCAGTCCTTGACACTTTTTCAGGCCGTCCAACACAATTCTGTCCTCATCACTCTGAGAGCCAATCAGAACCTCCACACTGCGCCTTAAATCTCAGTGCTCTTCTACCATTCTGCCTTTCAGACTTTCATTCATGCAAGCCAGAACCTCTCCCTCTCCATCTCATCCTGGCCAAGGAGAGATCTTCATCCAAGTCTCCACCCGCTTCATCTCCATCACCACCAGTGTCTAGATTCTGACTGAACACACCTCACTCCAAGCTCACTCTAAAATTTACAGTTAGATCTTGATGTACAGATACGTTTGTAATACTGAATCATTTCCTCAATGACTAAACAACCAGCTGACCTCTTTTCTGTCTCTCATCTGTTTAATACTACTTTAATTAATATCTATGCACAAATACAGACATTTCTAGAGTTCACCAACTTTCAAGCAGCACGTGATAAACAAACAACTAACCATAAAAATAAAAAAAACCTTTCATTACACAGTCATATTACCATATAACATCAGAACAAGTGGACTGAACTGTGCTCTCTGACTCGCTCTGCTCAATCAAGAATCTACTGAGACAGATTATAGGAGTTTATGTGCGTCTGCTTGAAAGTGAAAATATTTATTATTGAGCACACAGCTGCAAGGGCACTGCAAAAGCCTGTTTTTCCCTCCAAAATATTTACTTAATGTACATATCAATCATAATAAAAAGAGTTCAACACTGTAAACAACCGATCGCGCAAACACGAGCACAGCTATGGGAAAATATCAATCACTTGGAAAATTGCTGGAGGATATAAATATTTCATGAAAAAAAAGTTAACATTTTAATTTGGTATAGGCTTGGCTGCCTTTTGAATAAATCCCTGGGGTGACGATGAACACACACACACACACACACTGATACACTTATGCAAGCACACAAGCTAAGACTTTGATCCAAAGCTTCTTACAGGGTTTCGGTGATTTTTCACCCCAAAATGAGATCCCACAGATCCCGGTCCCGGCGCACAACACAAGACACGGAGAGTCATTAGCTGTCGAGATCAAAACCACAGACAGCCAGAGGAGTGTGTCCGTGACATAAGAGCTGCACATCCGGAGGACAAAGCTGACAAGAATGAGATGAGTCTGAACCAGAGACAAGTTAGGAAATTCTTTTTGACTTGTGCTCTTTTTAAAATGTGTGTTCTGGCTACTCCATATACTGCAAAATCAAACATTTCTTCAACAAACTATATAGCCTCTGGACCACATAATCACAGCCTCATGTGTATCCAGCACAGCTACTACACTCACTTAAGCAATCCACAGCACTTCCCACGTAAAAAAAAAAGAAAAAGAAAAAAAAGAAGCCCTCTGTAGTAATCCTGTGCAGGGGGGCTTTTGCTGTTTCATTGCACCGAATACCAAGCTAACGGTGACCTTATCATACTTTATGATATTTTTCATTTTCTGTGACACAACTATAATGTTGAAATAGGGACTCTGGGATTTGCTCTAATATTTATAAAAGATCCCTTCCAAATCCAATTTAGTCCACTCAGTGAAGCACAAATTGGATAATAAATATTGCACACTTAAATGTGTGCTCTGAAGAAAAAAAACAAGAGAAAAGTTATATGTAATTCAAAGGTTAAACTGAAAATATAGTGCAATTTTCTTTTATTTAAGAATCTGGCAAGAATAGCAGAGGTTCCATTTGGGCAAATGGCACATGCATTAAATGCAAAAATGACCAGTTCTCTTCATTTATGATCATCTCCGCAACTCCATGTAGGCGTCCATAAATGGCCAGCAAAATTACCCCAAAAGTGACACAATCCTAACAGCTTGCTATTACAGAAAAACTGACTAAAACTTATCAAAGTCAGTCCTGATTAATTTTCTGTCAATTAAATAATTGCTTATTTTTCTTCTTCTTTTTTGTTTTTAAATCAGGACATAAAATGTCTCAGTAATTTAGATTTCTAATTATAAGAAAGATCATGTATGACTGTAATATTCTGCTGAAATAAATGTGTGTGCAAGGCTCAATCCAATTTAATCTGATCCAGCATCTCACATAATCCACTGTTTATATCTGTGGTATCATTCCAAATATATTGGATTAATACTTTGTTACACTACAGCATGCCTAAAGTAATCCATATATGTAGCTAGTAGCTGGGTTCAAGGCTGAAGGAGTTGGCGCAATACTTGTAAATGACTTCTTATGAATTATGAATAACACTGGAATGTGTTTTCTGACTGCCACAACTGTAACACACCCCCTAACTCGGACGAGTGCCAAACACATCAGGAGCACACCACGACCAACACAAAAACACGCTACAAACACGCTAGATAATCGTTTCTATACGCCTAATAAGTGTAGCAACAAAATAACGGCATAATTATAATATATATGTGGCAAGTATGTGATTTATTTGCATGGTTTACTGTAAGTATGGAGCCTTAGGGGTAAGCGCATCAGTTTTGGGAAACAATAGGTGCTGTCAAAAGAGAAAAGCGCGTTGAGGGGGGAAAAGCTAACGGTTTTCAAAAAAGAACCGAAAGAAAAACTGCGACATGCGAGAAAGTTGCGCCGAAAGCTTACAAACCTCACCTTGTTTGACACACTTGAGTCGGAGGGGGTCTTTGCTGTGCTTGACCACAGCATGGACGTCCCTGGTGGTGAGTCCAGCCACAGGGGTATCATTGACTTCCAGCAGGAGTTCATCCTGGAAGAGTTTGCCGCTATGGCAGACCGCTCCGCCCGGGAGAAGCTCGCCGATAACCGGGAACTGTCCATTCTCTGCGCCGCCCTTCAACTCCAGCCCCAGTTCCCCCTCCTCATTCCTGCAAAGGACACTCTCGTGGACTTTGTTTGTCCAGTGGTTCTTCTTCTTCTTCAGGGTTTTGGACATGGCTCGAAGAAAAGGAAAATCACATGAGTGCGGCTGAGGAAGAAGTTTTGTCGCTCTCGGAAGTACCTCAGTGTCACGGCAGCACTGTAAAGTGATCGGTTTCAGTGGTAAACGCCAGCTGTATCCATGTCCTCGCACACACTCACGCGCACAGCAGCTGGATCATCAGCCTGCCTTTGCAATAACTGAGAGCTGCCGAACTTGTGCCGCCTTCAGGGGATATTTTAAAAATCGGAACTCACACGATCGCAGTTTATGCAAACACCATCGCGAACAAGAAAAACGCAGTTTAGGAGAATTCACACTATGTGAATAAGTGATTGTAAGAAACACTACATACACTTAAAATTTGATTAAAAAAATCTGTGTAGATAATGATTAGGACCTGCTCCTGGAGAAATATAGGTGGTTTTTTGTGGTGATGTGATAAGTTATATTATTAAATAAAAAGTTTAGTATTCTTGTTTCCTGTTGTAGGACATTAACCAGTAAAATGTAGAAATCAAGACTCAAACCAATTGCAATCTGACTGCATCTACCAGCAGAAATACAATAATATGCAGTGAGATATCGTACTCGTACTTGTTCTTAAGGATAAAACTAGATTATACATTTTTATCATTTCACTTTAAAAACTTTGCTGACACGTGCAATAGAAACACGTCATCTTTTTAAATAAATCAATGAGGCAAATCAGTTTTTAAAAACATTATTTGATCGTTGTAAAACCTTTACTTGCATTCCACACATTCCAAAAAGGAAGTTCATCTTGAGCGCCAAGAAGAAAGCGCTTAAAACTTCTCAACTTCGAAATGCACAACATTACCAGTGCCATTTGAAAGCGACATCCAGCTTTGACCAACCCAACTGACCCGGAAGTGAAAGCTGAAGAAGGAGGAGGAGATAGACAAGGGTTTTCCCAAAATCCAGCTTTCCACGAAAAAAGAAAAAAGAAAAAGGAAAGAGGGGGAGGCAGAGCAGTGGTATTTCCACTGGCATGGCAGCAAAGGAGCGATAATAACAGGGGGTTTCAAACCACAAATATGTCTCTTCTGTTTGACACTTGTTTACAGACACTTCTAATACTACAGTTTTAAAATAAATGCGAAGTATCTGCCACAGTGAAGCCGGTGAGACCATAACTATAACTTTAAAGATGTGATCAGCTGAGTCTACTCAAATTTCTTTTCGCCTCCCCCGGCATCATTGCGATTCCTTTCTCCTTAAACATGACTCTGCGTCAATTAAAGTCTCCTTCTGGTTTGACAAGAAGCTTTGAGGGTCACTTCAGTGTGTTACTTGAATTGAAGCCCCAAACACATTTTTTTAACATTATTTTCAGGTGAAGTTGAAGGCAAGATTGTATTTACTTGAACAGCCTCGAGGTCTTGTGTGACGTTTATATTACAGAGCATTTTCAAAGGCTGCAAGTATTTATCAGCTGAGAATTCTTCCTCTATATTGATACTCAGACTTCAGAATCATTTGTTCCCTCTAACGGCATTTATGATCCGCACGCTTAGTTGGTTTGTTGTAGGCCTAATAGTGCTGTCATGCACCAGAAAAAAATGGCTCTTAAGTGAAAATCCCCTTGTGTTTATCTCCGACTAGAGGAAAGGGACATAAAGCAAATGGAGAATTGGCTGACTATAATCCGTCTTCAAACAAGTGTGTGTTGTGGGTCTCTCCGTCACAGCACTGACATCCTCCAGTCTGCTTGGTGATGAAGCCTTTTCTCACGTAGTTACTGATCCCATTCTCAGTAATGATAGTTTGCCGCTTTGCTGCCACAACTGTATAGATATGCAAAGATAATTGCTATTCTACAATGCAGAGTTATCAGTCATTCTTAATCCTTTTCAAAGCCTTAAAAATAGCATTTTTCCCCATAAGGAAGCATTCCAGTACTGACGTGAGATAAGTGCCCTGTTTTAAACACAAAACGGCTTCCTCTTGTGTCATGATGTCATTTATTCCACCCAGTTCAAGGAAAGGTTGTTTTTAAGACTTTTTTCAATTCATTCATTCAATTAACTGTTCAATAATGTTTTCTCCATATTGCCACTACTTGTAAAATACCAGTAAAAGCTGGTGGAGATATTGATACTGACAGCAAAGGACTCGATCATTAAAATGTCGTGTAAGCAATTTTAATTGTTATAAAAAAATTAATTAAAAATAGAATACCCTGGTAGCTGTAAGTGGATACTGAGTCAGGGCAGCCTTACAGTGCATGGTGTCCGCTGCATCAATCTGGTAGTCTGGGGAAAGAAGATGAGCCAAATCTGGTAATAACTACAATAACTGTATGGGAGTGATAAAAACAAAAACAGGGGTTTTTGGAGGGGGTTTCATTGCACCGTGAGCAGGCAGATTAACTCGTGTCCTGTGCAAGAATGGGACTTTCATGGAATAAACAAAAATAGATGGAGCACTCAAAGTAGTGCAAAGCTGCACAAAGAGCAATTCATGAAGGTCATAGGAGTCAAACTGAAATGAGGAGTGCTGTGTGAAAGTTTTTTAGATTTCTCTTATTTCTTTACAATTTGCTTGCAATGAGCCATACTTGAGTTCTCTGGGCTTTCTGAAGATCTTTTAAAGTTTTCCTTTGGACATTGTCTGATTTTTCACTCATTTATAGTCCAGTCTCTGTGATCTTTTCACTTAGTACTGGTGGAGTCTTTCTAGAAAGCACATGTTTGGTAACAACCTTTTTTTCAGCATGACCTCAAAAACATGGCCAGCGCAGTAAAAGCATACCTGGATAGAAAAACACATAATGGACCGCTATCAGTCATGGATTGGACTCTCTAGTGCCTGGACCTAATCGTTACTGAAGCAGTGTGGGATCATCTTGACAGAGAACACAAAGGCATCCGACCTCCAAAGAAAGAAGACCTTTGAATGTCCTTCAAGAAGTCCAGAGAGCTATTCCTGAAGACTACTTAAATAAATTAAAGAAAGCTTTCCTAAGAGAGTTCAGGCTGTGTTGAAGATTAAAGCTGGGCATACTAAATATTCACTTTCAAGCTCATTACAATCATATAGACTCTGTTCTTGTATTTCCATGTTTGCTTGCAAATCCTCCAATAAATCTCAGCACCTATTTTCTTTTTTATGAGTGATGGTGCAAGACACTTGCATAGTGGCTGTCCAGAAGTTCTTTGTTATAACTCGTGCAATGAATGTGCTTTTATGTAAAATATGAGATGCATAAGTCCCGTGTAACTAAGAAGATTAATACTACTCTTATCTTCATGTCAAAGCTAAGCCAACTTTGGAATCCCTATCCTGGAAGCAGTCGGAGACAAATGTAGTAATTCCCTGTAAAAAACAGCTTTCTGTTTGGTGTAAACGAACTACAGACAACATTATAATTTCTGAGCTAGGGTTGTTAGCATGGATTATGTTACCCATGGACACTCATCATAGCTGTACCTCCACACACAAGAAGGCACATGCAGCAAGCACAAGACCTTGAAGCATGTGTTATTCTGCAAACTCAACTTACCTTCAGCAAGGATGCAGAAACACATACTTTATCGTCTAAATATGTAAAAATATGTACATTTAAACTTTCCCAGCTTCAAAGTCCAAGAACAAAAACATGCTGAACAAAATTGTTGAGCAAAATAAGGAAATGCACATCTGAAGATATAGTTGCACAATGGACATCAAATCAACATTGTTTTGCAATTAATTTCTGCTCAAAACAATATTTGCTGTCCTTGAGTCATGATGACAGTAAAGCAGCAGACAATGCTCTGTTGTCTCCTCAGCGGGATTTGGAGAAGTGCCTCTGCATTCCAGAGGCGGGAGCACTGCTGAGTGAAAATTAAAAAAAGAAGAAGAAAGAATCCAAGCAAAAGAGAAAGGGAGTATTTTAACAAGGGTAGGAATTCTGGAGGCAGTGTTTGAACAAGGAGAGGAATGCTCTGCGCGTGGCAGAATAAGTGCCAGGGAGGTGAAGAGAACAACAGCCCAGGAAATGAAAGGACTGGAAAAACAGTGTGGGATTAAACTGTGTAAGATGTGCTGGGTGGGCTCCTGCCCGCCACACTGAGCCTTTAAAAGTGGATTGAGGAAAATGGGTTTTTACAACAAATAATGTATATGTTTGGAGAAGAGCATTTTCAAAATTTCTGTTTATGTGATCGTTTTCCTGGAAGCACAACGCACAGTACACAAACAGACACTTCCTGCCTTTTCTACAGATTCAGATTGCAGGAAATCATTCTGTTCAGCCATCAGTCACATCTACACGACCAGATGGGAGTTCATTGGCTCAGCCAGTGATGCTGCCCCTGGGATTGCTACACTGCTATGCTACATGATGTAATGGTTATGACAGGCCTCATTGCAAGATAATTAAAGCTGGTCAGGAATAAAGTGAAACTGCCTGACGATGGCGTCCACTGCCAATGAAAGAGGAAGTTAATATCCGCTCTGTGCGAGCGAACGCTGCCGTTCCAGCTCCAGCTGAGTCATTTTTGGTGATTTGGCAGGTTGTTTTACAATGTCACGCTCCATACAGGAATGAGTGAATGACTGTGTGTGGCCACTTTGTCTTATTCAAGCCCGGTCAATCTCAGGCATCTGACCTGTTTACTTTGCTGCCATCTGTTCTACCTCGCAGCACAGAAAAGATTCAGTCTGTCACTCTCTGTCTCCTGTTGCTTGACCTCAACTGAAAAAGAAGTGCCAAGAGATGTTCGGCTGAATCTCATACACTGCCGATGTCATGGGGAAACGCTGTGAATGCCGAGAAAATGTGGAGGCAAAACAGAACATCCGCAAATTTCCCAGATCAGGTATGTTATGATATATTGTTTAAAAACAAAACAAAAAAAAATGCTAAATTAATGTATTGAAGTCAACGTATTTAAAAGTAACTCCTGTGTGCTAAAAGCGGAAGCTTCCGACCGTTTTTCACGCTTGGTTCCGGATGGGTTTTTTTCTCCTCAAGAGCATATCAGCAAGCAATGGGTTATCTGCGGAAGCCAGGTGAGGGGCAGCCAGTCAGAAAAGAATTGGGCTTTTAGGAAGGAGGGGGCTTAAAAAGATAGTTTGTTTCAAACAAAAGTACTGAAAAACTGCAAGTGAGTATAATACAAGTTGTTAAAGCTAGCTTGTTCTCATTCAACTTCATTCTTTTATATTTTACATTCTAATGCTTCATAATAAATT